TAGCATCAATGTTCGTATTTCCTTATACGCAATGCTCGTATGGCGAAAACGCGAACACTCCATTACAAACGTCGCAATAGTTCAATAGTCGTAGGTTTTCTGTATTCTTTCTTTCTCTCCTTTCTCTTCTTCATCGTGCTAGTTGTGTCTTCATTTTGTCACAGGGAAAACGTCGTTTTATTTCGCACAGGACTATGCCGTCGTAACCGGCCACGTTCTCTCTCCGCATCCCCTTTTATATCCTTGGGCATGCCCTTACCGTCGGGCACGTCCCTTCTCTCCTCTCCGGCTGCTTCGGCCATCTTCCCTATTGGTTCGACGTCGGACATTAGTATGACGAGTGATCACGGTCTATCTTACGTCAGTTTGGACTGTGTCCAAACTCGACCCTTTGGCCTCTGGCTGGGTGCCAAAATGTCCCTGGTTACTTTTATTCTGCATGCGTTGCTTCGTGGCTACTTATCTTAGCCCAGACTACTGCGTGCTCGCCTTCCGTATATAATGTACCTCTAATCTATATCTAATGTATATATAATGCCTCTCGTGACCCGCTACTATTTGCAACATCTGCCGTTGGCATAATTACCAATCTTCTAAGCGTTGCGATGTTAATTATTCATTGTGCTGTTGGACGCTTCTATAATCGTTGTCCCTCCAACTAATTTATCTAATACTCGTGCTACTATCGCCTATGCTCCTTATTCCTACATTTCAATATAAATTTCCGCTCTCATGATTTCTGCTTTATTACAATACAATTAAGACTACGATTCCAATTACGTTAATCTAAGCCGTTTTCAACTATTACAAAATTTAAGGCATCTGACGAAGAGTCTAAACTAGTGGTTTATTGTTATTATTAGATTCAGGATTGTCTAATAAAAACATGGTTCATACAAGAGGACTGAAATTTTTTTCAAGGACTTTTCAAGGACATTTTATCGGAAATTCAAGGACATTTTAGCAGACATTTTATCAAAATTCATACACAGAACAAAACATACCTGGATTAATTTAATAACCCCATTCTTAATCACTGCATGTCACCTCTAAAACTTACCTGGATCACATTAATAAACCCTTCTAAACTGTCACTTCTACAACATACCTTGATTTACTGACTGATTTTAGGGACTTACTGTAATTTGTGATCATCATTTAACTGTCTATCGTGTCTATAGCTTTTTAAGCTCATTTAATGCAATTTTTATTAAGGTTTGCACATTATTGATGGTATAAAATTTGTTTTTATTACAGGCAAGGATTCTTTCTACAAATTCAAGGACATTTTCATAAAATTCAAGGACTTTTCAAGCACAAAATCAACATTAACTAAATTCAAGTACTCTTTAAGGACTCCCCTCAAATTCAAGTACTCTTTAAGGACTCCCCTCAAATTCAAGGACTTTTCAAGGACTGTGCGAACCATGAAAAAAACTTGCCGAATCTGCATCGTGTATAGTGCTGCTAGAGGATCTTCTACATAATATTATAAGACATACGCATACCTAAGTTACAATTGTATAGATACAGTCTTTACTATTATATCAGTTCGTATGCAAAGAGAGCAAAGTAAGGTCAGAGATGTAAGGTCAAAGTAAGGTCAGAGATATGTCTCCATATACGTTTTAAAATAGTTGTACCGCCCGACCAACCAATTATGTTAGAGAAATGTTACATTAATCACAAACAATTATACATTTGCCGCTACTAGCCTCAATTGACGAAGCAGAGAGACAGTGTACACGTCTATTACAACGCGTGCTTGCATGATCACGTAAGCCTGTGAGCTTAAACGGCTGGTTGTCGCATGAGACGGAGTCATCAGAGATGGCCGCATACGCGTGTCGGCGTGCGTGCGACGCTCGTATCACACGATGCTTTTCTCGGGTGAGTATTACACTCGACCTATCTACTGCAGCACATAGGACCTGGCACGGTGGTTGAAAGCGTATAGGTCTCCAGGGCTCTGGGGGTAATAGGGGGCATTCCAGGAGATGTTCCATGATAGTCTGGTCCACCCCGCAGTCACATTTGATTGGGCCATGTTCAATGTATCCCCATTTCTGCATGAGTGCCCTGAACCGACCAACCCTACCCTTAGGCGATTTAGGCATAGCCAGGTAGGACATGCGTCATTGGCTCCGGGTAGGAGGGATTCCTGGAGACTGAGTAAACTGGGGACTGAGGGACTGATATCACACGATTACAGATGCACACACACACGCACACACACACGCACACACACACACACACACAACAGAACCACAGCACGCACGCAACAGGTGCCACCACCACAGCACGCAGCCGGAGCACAACGCAGCACACAGCGCGTACACACCACGTAGCACACCACAAACACACACACGACTCACACACACAATGACACACGTAACACACAGGCACACCAGCACAGCGTGCCACACGCAAGCCGCTACAGCAGACGCCACGGAACGCACACACGCACACATGGCCCACGAAGCAGACGTGGCACACGCACACACCCCACACCACACAACAGCACACCAACACGGCGGAACCCCGACACCACCACACACATACACACACACCCTGCACACACAGCACAGTCCCGCAGCGCACCCACAACACGCAGACTAACAGGCCCCCGACGGGGCCGTCCGGCCCAACACATACCCAGGAACCGAACCACCCACACACACACGACAAAAACACCACAGGCACACCCCCACAAACACACCAACACACACGTAACACACAGCACACCACCGAGGCAGCACACACGAGCCCACACCACCCTCCAACGCACACCACACACCACACACAAACGGATGACCATCGCAGCCCACCATGCACCACCACACACACGACATTACTGCGCTCGCTTATACATGTATTCACCATACCGTACTGCACCGCCACCACGCGCTACGCGCACACCACACACTCACCACCATCACACACACCACACACCACACCATCACAACCGGCCATTTCCGACCACACGATCACCACGCAGCGACACCAACACACTACACCAACACCACCGGCACGCCACGCCAAAACGCAAGTTCATGTGTTGATGATATGATGATGATGATGATGATGAATGATGATGATGCGAATAATGACGGTGATAATGAACGTGATGATGATACTGATTAGGATTATGATTAGGATGATGATGATGATGATGATGATGATGATGATAATAATGATTGTGATGATGATGATGGTGATGATGATGATAATGATGATGGCGATGATGGTGATGAGGCTAATGACGTAACTGCCATTGAGGCTGCTGTATCATTGCCATGCGTACCGCCTGTCACGCTCACAGCAACCGCTCACGTTTTACTGACAAAGCAGGTTTTTACACGGCGTTGTGTTTCTCGAGCTGTGGCTGGCACTGCGGAAGTGACGAGCACCACAGGACACGGCGGCAGCAGATCGCGTTGGGCTGAGTTATAACCGCAATCAATATTACAGTTGTAGCGGGCATTAAATATGCATAATATTTATATGCCCATTTCATAAAATGCCAATCATTTTAATATTGAAGTGTGGTAGGTTCGCCGACACCGCCCTAGTGAGCAGATAGGTAGGTAGGTGGTAGTATGGCGTTTTATGACGACCTACTGGGTCGTTCATGATGGCATGCAACCGCCACCTGTTGGCAATGTGGCATCACGCGCGAAGAACGTCAGGGCGTTAGTTTGTATTCAAGAAGTAGATTGCTGCCATATTCGTATATTTATTTCGCAATTCCATGAATAGGGGCATGTTAGCTTGCCGATTCGCTACATGTGTCCTAAGGTTATGACGTATAAAATTGCAGAAGATTCAAAAGCGCATCTAAGTATGTTTTATGTACCCTTTGTATACTTAAAATTCCTGTACAAAATACGATGACACCGATTAAACAAAGTCAGGTAATGGGAGTTACCAGGGGTAGCCCATCTCAGTAAATTACTCGATCCCTGGAGAGCTGTGAAAGCTGAAAGTGTAATTTCTGCTAGTTTGCAGTGCCAACTACTCTCGTAACAACGTGATCAAACTATTTGCTAGAATTTACGGGTTTCATGCATTTAATGGTCGTGTTTTTGCGCATATTAAATTTGTATAGATGCAACCAACAATCATTTTGATTGATAGTTCAGCATTCATGGTAAATTGTTCAAGCATTAAAAGCCTTTAGTACGTTTTTCAAAAAATGTGTCAACCCCAAACCTTGCTGCGAATCGCTACATTGTTATTCGATAAATTATTATTGCTAACATATAATCAAGTTTACTTTTTGAATGCCGACGCGGGCGAGCAATACCCCCATAACGCCTACGACTGCCTTCTGTATCCTATACACAGTAATACCAAACACAGGCTCCCGGAAATGGGATAGAGAGAGAGGAAGAAAGATGATGAGAGAGAGCGAGATAGGAGAAGTGCGAAAGAGGAAGGAAGGTGAGGGAACGAGAGAGAAAGGGACAGAGAGGGTAGGGAGTAAGAGAGATCGAGAGGTTGAATAGGCGACATTGTCTCTACATAGAAGACTGCGAATTGTTTAGAAAAGCTCATCTTTAATAACTGCAAATGTTGGAGTTAAAATGTGGTGCTGCCACCTAGTAGCTGAAATAATTGGAAGCTGGATACTAAGGGGGCTTATGTACGTTTAACAAAACGCGTGCACGAGCGTGTGCGTGCGTTACAACGTGCGTGTGCGCGTTATCATATGTACATACATTCATAACTGAAATTTATTAATTAACTCATTTGAATAACGCTGTCTACAGCGCATCTTATATAGGACATTTTGTCGCCACCTATTGGCTGATTTACATATTATGGGTAATACATTGGCTAGGGAAGCTTGACGTAATGCGGCCATGATGACGAGCACCGTCGCGGGTGTCATGGCGCCGTTCAAATTTTGTAGCGTTGATGTGTAATTAATTATAACAATTAAATTAGGTATCTGGTAACAAATACGTGTGGGTATAGACGATTTGTTATACAGTAAGTACAGTTGTATGCAGTAACATCCTAAAGGCTACTGTCCCTTTAATAATCCTAAATGAATACAAACTAGAAATATCATTTACAGCCATAGGATTAAAACCAAAAAGAGCCTGGAAAAAAACAAGTCAAAGATGCCATCTTAAAAAGAGTACTAATAAGAGACAAATTAAAAACTAGAGATAAAACAAAAATGAAGATGATAAACATTGAAACATACGGATTGAAGGAATATATGAAAGAATTATCATTTGCCGACTCGTGCTTTGCATTTAAATGTAAAACTTGAATGATTGATCTCAAAGGCTACTTTAGAAATAACTTCAGTGACGACAGGTGTAATCGATGTAATAAGAATATGAAACAGGACTTGGAACATTTATATAATTGTGATAGCTATAATAAATATAAGGATGGAGAACAAATAGAAGGCTGGAGAGGGGACAACCACGGGGTATTGAAACCTGCGTTAGATTATGTGCGGAAAATTCTGGTGATTCGAAACACTAATATTTAGAGAATTACAGGCAGCACTAATATCCTTTTTCTCTAGATCATCCCCACACTTCAATGAATCGAGTGTCTTGTGAAATACAAGAGAGGGAGCCAAGATACAAGATACAATATACAAAGTATTGACTCATCATAATTTGGTTAACACCAAAGACTGTGGTTATGGACGACAGATAGAATTAGCAACACTCCTGCACATGTATGTCATTACTGCACAATGTAGTCATGTAGGAGTAATGTTGTTCAAACGTTGTTTTGAGTTTGCCGTGAATCAACTTTTCTAAACTAGAGTAATATTTAAGCTAATGAGCTGGAGTAAGCCGCGGGTTATTCTTATTTGTTTGTCAAATATTGTAAAATAAACTATTACACTACAAGACTCATTTCAGATGTGGAAAACAACTGGCGAAATATTACATCAATGGTAGTAAGTGCAAGGCTAACGTGTGCTATGTAATCATATGACACCACCAATTTACCTGAAAATCGTATGTGTTCTTCAAAAAAGTCATTTTAATACGACACGGTTTCACACAGTTTTCAGAGACCGTAAGATTCCGTCAGAGACAATAGAACACTAATCCGATAACAAAGTTTGGTCGCGGAGATGCATAGATGTTAATTTAGAACAAACTAGTTTGATGTAGGCTGACATTTTCAGTTTGTATGGGGCACAGAACATATTGGAGGATTTTCGGAATGCTGCAAATTGGTTTTAGCTTTTTGAAGGCATGTCAGACCGAACACGTCAAAAAGCCAAAAGTCCTCAAAGTCAAAAAGCAGTCATTTACCCTTACCAAAACAGCAAGCTTTCTGCAGTTTGTGATTTACCATACCGTTTCCATTCATGATAAAAAACTAGTTTAGTTTTTCACTATTTTACCCCACTCTTGTTGCATCGCTATTACAGAGGATATAACACCACCAGCTGCAGCTAGACCTGTATCAGCATAGCCCAGGGTGGCAAGTGGGATAAAAATATCACAGAAATCTTTAGCAAGTTCCAGTTGCACTGCTACTACCAGAGGACGCAGATTACAGTAATCTTCTTTGATCTCTTCCTGGGGCGCCTGCTTAAGAGTCACTGTACGCATACGCAGCAGGTGAAGCTTACGGAGGTCGCGCAAGGTCAGTGCTATATTGGCAGCTAACCATGCCCACGCTGACACTCTAGAGTACCGGGGATTTACCTGCAACATTCCAAAATTGAGTACCCAATATATTAGTTGATACATACACTTCCAGCTAGTTGCAAAATAATTGGTTATATTTCTTAAACTATTTTTGATAACTAATATTTAATACTTAAACTTGTTTAAACTTAAAGGAATACTTTACTCTAGAATTTGAGAGTATATTATGATAGTAGATTTATTAATAATAGCACATACTTATAAATATCTATAATTATGCATTCACGTTTGTTATAAAACATAGAATTTCGAAATTTTCATTTTTGGGCACTGACATGACACCCGCGAGCGTGCTGCCACCCTGAAAAAATTTGCGCATTTGCCAAAATATTTTTCACGTTACAGACCAAGGGCTAATCACAAAAGTGCAATTATATTTATACCTAAATTCTATTTAACCGAACGATATTCATTTTAGGACAAATTTATCCATATTATAACTGAAACTATATGTCTTTTATAAGAGATTGCAATCCTTCTGCTCTTAAATTTATAAATAAGAAACACCCTCGGTCTGTAGCCTGCAGCCGCAACGTTGCTTTGCGCAACTTTTTTAGTGGGTGCGCTGCCAGTGGCGCCACCGTCGTTGTAAGCAACGGTACAGCCCTTGAGTTGTAAAATTATTTTTTAAATATTTCTAATAAATATTAAACCATAAAGCATAATTTTAAAGGCTCACAATGCGCATCCAAACGCTAATTTCTCCAGTACTAGACTAGCAAATACTTCGTGTCATGCATAATCACACTACCTTATGACAAAATAAACTCTAGTTGCTCCCATTTCACTGCGCGTTTGCTTAAAACCCACAAGAAAGAGGTGAGAAAACTGGCGCAAACGCCGACTGTTTCCAAACAAAATAGCCTCGAAGTGGTGAGGTGACGTCACATGTTTTTATC